CCACTTGTTGATAATAAGATAATTTCTCATCATAGTTAGCTAAGGCTTGAATCAGTTTTGTGAACTTATCAATATTTTCTTCTAGTCTAGAGAAGGAATCAAACCTAAAGTTATAGAATTGTTTCAAGAGAAAACACTTATTTGATTTTGCCCATAATGTTTCACCTGTGGTAGTTTCTCCAATTTTTCTTATCACATTGTCATATAAGTGAAGGAAAATTGAGCTCCAAGCTCTATCATCTAATTCCTGCCTCCTATAGGCACTAATCTCAGTTGCCCAACTGCCATCAACAGCTAGAGCACATCTCTACACTAATCCTTCATTGATCTCAACTTGTTCGTGCCACTGATTTTGAGGTGCCCCTACTTTAGCAAATCCTTGTCCAATTGGTAGTCTCAAAATATTTTGCTATTCTGCCATATGATGTTTCTTGTTCTTATTTGTGTTCTTTGAGTTTTCATCAAAGGTACATCTATTTCCAGATCAAATGGTTCAAGATCATCACCTTGAGAACGGAACATACGGTGAACACATTTTTATCTTATCAAATAAAAGTTAAAACAAAATAAATTTAGATTAAATGTAAATAGTCTCTGACAACGGCTCCAAAAACTTGTTGCATTTTTTATATCGTAAGTGTACGATATTGAACAAGTAATATAATGCACCTTTGAATTCGAATAACCGTTCCTACTAGGACTATTATTTATTCCTAGTTTATTATTGATAGCTTCTGCTTGACAAAAATAATTTATGATTTTGTGATTGTTGATCTAAATTACACTACTATTTGAATGTATCTTAATGCACACAAAAATCAAATTAGGTTTTGAAATATGAAGGCGATATTAGGCTTTCACAATTTCTTTTATTGATTACATGTAATTCTTTACTCAAGATTCATTACATAGTGCAATGATCAGTCGAATTCTTCTATACATATTGAACTAATCTCTTTCGAGTTAAAATTGATCATATTTAACTAAGTCAATTCCATATTTCTATGTTAATCAGGATATACCTTAGTTATACACATTTAATTTCTAAGAATTCATGTAACAACCGCATTAATTAGAAAATCCGTCTCTACACTTTTATACAAGTTTCTGGATTTTATTATGTGGTCTAAATCTGAAACTCACCTCTCGACTCATAATAAATTCACAAGATCAATGAATAATTGGCTAAAGAATTCAAGCAATAAACTCCATGAATAAAATCAGCACATGAACTTTTAAAGATCTAGGATCTTGAAACTTGAATTAAAGGATCTTAATAAATTTCATTGTTTGCCCTATCAAAAAAATTTAGCTATTCATAATGTAGGAAGAAAAACAAATAATAATATTGGAATATATCACTGAGTTTTAAAATGAGGCGTGGAGAGATGGATGAATCTAGAGCCAAGTTCCTCTTCTTTCCCAAAATTTTGATTCCAAACGCTAATTCTTGATTTCTTGTTTTCTTCCTCATTTTCTCTCTTTAATTCTCAAAGCGTATAACCCTCTTGATTGATATCTTGCCTCTTGCCTCATCCAATTCTCCGCAAAAGTGTTCTTTAGAGTTATATTTATGTCTTCTTTTAAGTCTTGGAAGAGTTTTAGTTGAATTAGACCTTTAAAAGGTGAGTTGCACTTGGAAGCCCTATTTGGCGGTGCACGCGCTACGGATCTATTATTTTTTCCTAGAGTGGGCACCTCGGCGCCACCTCTATTGCTCCAACTTTGCACATCATTCAGTATTTTTATTATAATGTTATCTTCTGATATTGGATTAAGGCGATTCTAAGTGCATTGGAACAAAATTCAAATGGCTACACCTTTGTTAGAGATAGCCTTTTTCCAATTGAAAATTTACTATGTCAAAACTGTGTCTCAATCTCTGGCTAAAAATCTGGAACATACTTGTGTAATTTAAAGTTGATTTGTGAAAATATTTTGATCATATTTCATCACTTTGACTTCTTTCTTCATTCAATTGACCGCTAGTATTCTTGAATCTTCATCATGAGGTCTGACAGAATTTTTGAGTATTTAGTCTCCGAACTTTGGATCTTTCCCTTCTCACCAATGTTCTCTTCTTTTTTTACAATTTCATTTTCATTCATCGAGTTTCATCCATGAAACAAAATTATACACTAAATTAGGCTATATTTCATCAAAAAAACTACGAACTATTACTAATTTAAGGCTCAAAAAATGTATAAAATACACTTATCATCCATTCATTAATTGGATTTAGATGCTTAGCCCACTTTACCTTTCTTGTTGGCACACCTTGCTAATCTCTAAGAAACCCTTTCCTTCTTAAAAATTCGATGACAAGAACAAAGACAAATAAATGAAGAAAATAATAAAGTGTTGTTAAGTCTTGGCCCAATTTGTTGTTTCTTGGCCCATGCGTTTAAACCTTAAACTATATATATGTTAACTCCTTTGTATGAACCATGTGAGTTGCAATTGTATTGTGAGAAAAGAAAGGCAGCCATTCTTCGTTCTTGATGAGTGTTGAACCAGTCCTTCCTTCCTTATCTCTTACTTTGTGGAATTAGTTACATCCACCATATTGTCCTTTGTGGGAAAAATTTAAAAGATGGCAACCACATTGGGAAGTTTGAATTTGGGTTGAGCTTTTGATTGGTTTGTGTTTGATTTGGTGTATTGTGAAACTGAGCCAGAATTGCACGATTCAAAGTTCTTGGTATATAATTTCCACAACATGTTAACATTACTTTCTAAAACTTGTAGGATAACTGTTAGAATGTTGTTTGTGATACAAAATGGAAAAATCGCGTTTTTATTCTATAATCGCTACACTCAACTGACACTTACGGTCCTTTGGCTCCAAAATTCAACTTCTCAATTTGGTGGGAATCTATTTATACATGCACAGCGAAAAATTAAAATTATTTCGATTCCCATCGAGAATCCCTTTGTGTTTATATAAAAATCGTGATAAAACTTGTACCTTTGAAGAATTCTGCAAATCTTTTGCATTTCTTTTCGTTCTAGCAAGAATGATTATGAGAAAAACCATATGGATTGAAAATCCTAGTCATGTATTTATATAAGCCTAAACGGGCCTGGCCCGGTCCGGTCCATATTTAATTAATCAATTTAATTAAATCCGGTCCGTGAATTAATTAATCCAATTAATTAATTCGAGCCTATAAATAACCAACCCAATTAATTAATTTATCCAACGATTGTTAAATTAATTAATTAACAAATTGCAATATTTCAATTCTCTTTTGTGTGTGACCCATCAGGCTCCCGATCACGATGCCTAACGACGTGAAATATTACTTTGATCTAATCAAAATTAATAAATTAAATTATCCTTTTAATTTATCGTCAATTCACACTCGCCGTCCCAGATTGACATCTAGACATATAAGGGCAATACATGTGACGAGAAATGTCATGTGGTATGACAAAACCAAATTCGTTCGTTTACCGTAAAACTATAATCCCTTCGTTAATATGATCCGATCAATTACGAGATATGGAAGCGTGTCAATCTCAATTATCGATCATATCTTTCACTCCACTATTAAGTCAATATAAGTCGAAAACTCATTTTCGGCTTATGAGTATACCTTGACCAAGGATTTCATCATCGACTTAATTGAATGAAACACATATCATAATCTCATACTATTTAAGAGTGATGAATCCTTTATTGATCAATCACAACCTTCATACGATTCTTGACGTACCCGAACGATGTCGTATTAGCGGCCCTTTGCAGAGCAACATCCAACACCGCCAAAGTATGACTGTCCTCATATAAGGTACCATGACGACCTCAAGTCAAAGGGCCAATTCCAGTACCGAATGTTAGAGATTAACCACTGACACTCAGATAGCTATCCACGTGGAATCTCTCGGTGGGTCTCCAATATTTTGTTCTATAACAAAACATCCACGTATTCATCTAAGTGTCACCACACTTTAACTTGTGAGATCAATTACTCACTTTACAAGTAAGAAATGTCACACGTGATGGTCTATCCGTAATAACGATATCCGTATCTCGTTATTACTTACGACCACGGACAATTTAAGATTCAATCAGATGTAATTTGTATCTCACAATCACAACTCCTTGTGATTAACAAATTATGAAGATTTGAATCTACGGACTCTATTATTTATTTAATAGATAATTAATTAAATAATAGATCTGCCATTAAATTGCATTAATTATATATCAAAAGTATTTATGTCCAAAGTTGAAAGGACCTAGGGCATAATACTTACACAATGTTGGTTGTGTTTCTCTCTACAAGCTTCCCCTGGAGACGGAAGGCAAAATTTTGATGCATGTGCTGGCAGTGTTGCCTCTGCATTTTGGACTTCAGTTCAAGACTTCTAAATTTCTAGGCTTAGCTTTTGAGATAAAAAGTCAATAGGAAAATCCTCTATCTTCTTGGATATTGAGATCATGTAGGAAAGTGCCTTTTGTGGGAGATTGTAATCTATGTGCTGTTCTTGGGAAAAATCATGCTTGAGTTGAGATTTTTGTGCCTCTTTGTACCCTGTAATCTCAAACCAGAAAAATTTAGTTATAAGAGTTCATAAGGTGAAGCTCAACGAGGATATAGACTAGTTTCAGACTAAATCTGGTGTTTGATATTTAGTTCTTCCTCTATTCTCGGGATCTTTATGCAAATCCAAATTAAGGCTTAATTTTAGGCTCTGATCCAACAATAACTAAAATTTAAAGTAAGAAGAGTGTGCCAAAATGAATTTTTATGTGATCATATAGAGTGTTCAAGTGAACCTCCGTATCATGTATGACATGCAATTCATGATACAAGAAATTAATTTATGTACCTCTTTAACACTAAAAGTTTCAATTAAGCTCGTTTAGATTTGAATGTAAGAAGGATCACAACTGAATTGATCCAAAATGGAGTTTTTTGAGTTGAAAGTTCAATTTGAGATAGCTGAAATAGATAACCAATTCAAACTTGCATTTAGATTATATACTCACAACAGAATCTTAAGAAAAATTCGAAAGAGCAGAAGACAGTGTCTTCAATTTGCAATAATTTTGTAGAAAATGGATATACAAATCCATGATTTATGTACTGTAAGCATGTATTCTTTATATATAGTAAAAGCTATATCAAATATTTGAGATCATTTATCCCACTAGTCCTTTGTAATTTAGACAATGCAGTGCTATTAATCTGCCGAATCCTCTCCCTTGAAAGTTTAAATAAATTTCCTATCTCTTCAATTTTCAAAGGAACATGGAGTGCAGCCATTAAGGCCATAGTGCAGTCTTAAGACATTTTCCTCTCTCACACAACTAGTTAAGAAGCTTTTGTATTTCTCTTTTCAACATCTCTTTCTTCTCCATTGCCTCTAGTTTCGTTTCATTTCGCCCCCGTATGATGTCCTACAGAAAATGGTAAAACAAAGAATTCAATCAAATTTCTACTACTTTTTCAAGATTTTATTTAAATTGATGTAGAATACATGAGGGTAAAGTTAAAAATGTAGTTTCTTAGCAATGAAATGGACGAATTGATGAAAAATGATTCATGTAGCTGACACCACATTTAGGAGGGAGGAGGGTTATTTATTTTTTATAGCCGAAACTCAGCATTTAAAACTCTTGTACAAAGTTTTTGTAGCATACTCATAGCTGATGGAATAAACATGCACTCTAAAGGATAATTGAAGCATCCACATCAATGGCTGCTGCAATCTCATCACATGTAGGATACTCTGCAGCCTTCGGCTTAAGTCATTGTTCGCCTCGCAAATCTTAGGTACCAATTCACTAATACTGCCCTGCACATGAAAACCTTAACACCCATTCACTGATTGTGAGCTTTCTGTTAAATTTCATATTCTCTTTAGTCACTAAATTAGGGATTTCCACAACTCGTCCGGGAATTATCCTTTTCAATTTATGAATTTGTTTATTTTTTTGGTGGGGATGGGTAGCTAGTAATGTCACGTTCACATTTGCTGGAAATGTTGGAATATGTCGAGCCTAAATATCTTGTACATTTATCCCTCATTTTAGGACTTATTCAATAGTGGCTAACATAAAATTCAATTAAATTGGCAAAAGCACCATTAAAACTCAAAGTTGTTCATATATAGAACAATAGATTAATCAATTGATATTTGGAATTAACTCATGAAAACAGAGTAAGACCTGCTTAATGATGTATGCCTTACCGTCAATTGGAATATCGTTGATTTGCTGGCTATGGCTCTGCTAATAGCTTGCCTAATCCACTAGTAACCGTATGTGGATAACTTACAACCTCTCTTCGTGTTAAATCTTATAGCCCCTCGAATTAGTCCAATTCTTCCTTTCTGCAAGATTGTAGAATCATTTTAATACTCAATAAAATTTGTAACATCGCAGTTAATGTTTGAAATTATGTAAGGGACCTGAATTAAATCTTTGAAGCTCAACCCTATTCCTTGATGAGATCTAGCGACTGCAATAACAAGTCTCTGATAACAGCTGCAAATTCGATCCTGTGATTCTCTCTCTTAACATAAAATATATACAAGCCTTTGCTGAGTGATTCCTGAAGCCTTAGCCCATTGACTTGAGGTTAATTCTTCTTCTCCCATGTCTGCTATTTTCTTTCTCACAGGTTCAACCTTTTTTCCTATTTTTTTTGTAAAACAATGTGAGGAAAGAACCAAACAGAGGCAGAAAATTTGATTTATGAAGTAAACCCTAAATTTATTGGGAATAAGTTTTAGTCGCATTTGCTAGAATTGCAATACGGAAGCCTGAAAACCCATAATCTATCTGAATAGTTTGGCAATTAAACTCCTAAGGTAGAACAGATGGAATTTAAAATTTGGTGAATGGAAAAGTATATCAAAAAGAACAGCAGCTAATCTACATTGAATAACTGCATTATATATACATATATGCACAATTAATCTCTGAACCAAAAACTATAACTTGAATTGCAGGTTGCATATTGAATTCTTAATTGTATTGAAGATTTTGCTCAAATTCTAATTGAGGTGAAATATTTATTTATTTAAATTTAGTATTTAACATGCCCTTTAAGTGCATAGCACGTTCATTTTTTCATAAAAGCTTGACTTGTCTATACTTAGTGGCAAAATATCAAATTTGAACTACTTCGTCCAAGAACTTAACTAAAACAAAGTGACTCCACTTATATCAATCAATTTAGAATTAGAGGTATAACTACCGGTACCAAGAAAACTTTGCCTCTTCTTTAGGTGTCAAGTATGACTGCTTCTTGGCAGCCTTGAAAAATACATGTTTTTCATTTTTCTCATGCTCCAAACATTCCAAGTCCCTTCTTCTTTTTCTTCTTCTCTCCCTTCTCTCTGCGACTCCTTTGCACCAATGTCTCTCAACCTCATTTTCGCTCCTTTTGTTATCAAAAACCTTTTCCATTTTCTGCGCAAACTCCAATTCCACTCTAGAAGCATCCACACCCTTAGTAGCCATAGTTAACGCTTCGTCTGTTACCAAATTAAGGCTGTAAATCGAAGAAGAATGGCTTTAGGCTGGAAGGCAGCCATAATTGATTGCTTTGAGATGTGAATTTGTACAAGGATAAGAGGAGATTGAAATAGTTGGGATTGGTGGTGTTTGCTTAGAAAATGAGCATATGGGAATGGCCATGTTTTGTTATGAAAAAAATTGTTAAATAGCCATGAACAAATGGACTAACCACTTAGTTACTTTTGTGACTTGTTTTATTTATTTATTTATTTTTTTCCTTATCTCGTGGTAGTGGGCACCATGTTTGGTCGATATTTCTCTTTTGAAAATTTTGCATATTTGAGGGAAAATAGCCGTGTGGGTCCCCAAACTTTGACACATGTTGCACCTTGGTCCCCTTTCTTTAAGACAGTATTTATATCCTCAAAGTCTTATTTCTGTAGACTTATGTCCTTAGTGGACAATGTATCCTTAGAAAAGCGCTAAAATTTTAGCATCTAATTGGTCTGGATTAGAATTGGATTTTTACCAAATTGCGATGTTATGAATTTGAAAAATTCTAATTAAATATTATGCAGAAAAAGGGCAATTCCAATAAATTCCCCCTAAAATGCTCCAAGAACTCCAGTCCATGCTGTCCAATTTTTTCATGGACTTAGGAGATTGATTGACCATTCTACACCTGAGTGCTTTTCGCATTGTCATACAAAGGGCATCAGCAGAGAGTTTTTTAATATTGGGGATAATTTGGGAGATCGGACAACAGCTTGTTGAAGGGTTAAAGAGATAGAATTCAACATTGTCATTATTTCTCGGTTTAACAAATTTAATATATGCTTTAGTGGATCCAGCAAATTGAATCAAAAAATTCCTTTTTCTTGAATAATCAGGATCAAACAGATACTTAATTATAATTGCAATTTCACCCTTATTTAAAAAATAAAAAATAAAAAATAAAATAAAAAATCCACAAACCCCTTCCAAAGTGATTGACAATAGTTTTAGGTTAAAATTACACTCACACCATTTTCTTAACTTTTCATTTCGAAAATCGGTTGCAAAGATTTTTCTATTAAAATTTAGGTGCACTCCACCCCATCCCCATCCCATCTCATCACCCCAACCCACCTCCACTCATTAAAAAATATGGGCTCTCTTTCTCTCTCTCTAGTAGCCGCCATCACCACCAACTCTAATTGACGTCACCGGAGACCAACCACCACAGTCGAGCTTAGAACCACTGCTTGCAGCAATGATGACTTGTGGGGGGGGGGGGGGGGGGGTAAAAAAAATTTTAAAAAATCTAAAAAAAAAACTTAGGCCACATGCTATCCCTTTTGCTTGGTGGTCGAGGAGTTTATTGTGCAATTGTGTTACAAATTTGTTATACGCAATTGACATTTGTTCTTTTTTATTTAAAAAAAAAAAGTCAACGTAAAAATTGAAAAAAAATTAGAACTTACAAAGCGACCTAAAAAAAGTGTAATTGATACGAAATTTGTAATTCTGACTCACAGTTTGTGTTTGGTGATTGTGACCTTGTGCGATTTATGATTGTGACCATACTGTGTATATTGTGACATTTGATATACTATTGTGACCTTGACCTATTATCGAGTGGTCAACATCTAATTCTTGTAACGTTTTCACTAGTTTCTTTTCTTCTTCTTTTTTTTTTTTTTTTGTTGGATATATTCTAATTATCTATGTTTCCCTTTTTGGTTATCTTGACGGGTGTGGCCTGGATGGATGGGAGAAGAGTAATTTCATTTTTATTTTTTCTTTCATTCTTGTTTTGTATTTACCCTTTTTTTTTGGTTTATTTAAAGAAAAGAGTAAATATAATCTTTTCAATAGAATTTTAGCTTCTTAATTGAAGGCAAGGGTAAAACTGTCCAATGAGAACCTAACTGCTACTAAAATTAAAAGATTGGAGATTTAATTGCTATGATTTGAAGATTTTAGACCAAGGTGCAACACCAGTCAAAATTGTGGGGATTTTGGCTGCTATTTTCTGTACTTTTGATGTTAAGAATGTGTGAACTTACCAAAATAGGGAAACTTGTAGTATTGGTCCCCAATCTATAGTACTTGTGATAGTTTGATCAACAAGGAAAAAAAATTGGTCCCTAGTGTTAATAGATTTTTGAAATTATGAGCTTGGACTAACATCAAAAACAAAATTTAAACATAAGGATCAAAATGTTTATTTTTAAGGTTGATAACTACATTGTTAGAAGCACTATACGTGAGGGACCAACACTACAATCTTGCCTCGAATAATAATGATGACCACAATACTTAAAAAGTCATAAAGAGAATATTTGTATTAAGAATTCATTAACTTTTGTCCCAATAAAATGTGTTAAGAGTTTCATTTTCGCTATTAAAATAGTCAAACTGTTATTGCATAATACATTATTGCGATCCCAAGTAAAAAAAAACCAAAGCATATTTTGTTTTGCCAATTCAATTGATTAAGAGCCAAGGTTCACATCTTGTACCACATATAATATATTAATTTCTATTCCAAAACTTGCATGGCACGATTGCAGGCCAATATGCCTAAACATAATAGAGTTTACCACAATAACCAAATTGATTATTTTCATGCAAAAGGATACTATAAACTGGCTTTAAAATATCAAAACTCAACTCATAATGAGCAATAAATTTCAACTTGAAACTAGAGAGTATTTGTATGATGTTTTCACAATACCAACTTGGGACTCATCCTTCTTTGTAGGTGTGTGAGTATTCCATTTACAATAAATAAGCTCCCAAGTTTTTGTCATTTCTCTTTAAGTAAGTCCCAATTTTGGATTTCAGAATGACTAGTTGTTTTCATTAAGCCCTCGTTAAATTTCATTACATTACATTTCAATTTTTCTCACTTTTATTTCCAACCACACAATTTTTCATAAAATAATATTACACGTAAATCGAAAGCTTTTACTTCTTTTTCAATCACTCATTTTTCAAAAAAACACTATTCCACTCATTTTCATTTCTAAAAAACGGGGGCCAAACGGGGACTAAACAAACAAGGTTTCTTTGAAAGTATACAAGAATAAAAAAGACATTCTCAACTTCTTTCTTATCGTGATCGATTGTCCCTTCAACCAGAAATAACTTTTGTACATTTCTCACATACAATCGGAATGTTAATCTCTTATATTTCTTATTATCCTCAAAAGCTGATTTAATCGAAGGAGAACCAATAGATTGAACTATTTTTTACAGTAATTTTTTTTTTAAATCATACTCTCTTCAAAATAAAACATGCTCAAGTCTTTTTTTTATTTATTATTATTTTAGAAAAAAAAGTGTAGAGTGTCTTCAGTTAATTATGAAAATTACAAACTTTAGACTTTCATCATGAAATTTTTATGTTGCTTAATGTGCCACGTCGAGCAAAGAAATAAAGTTGAAAGCAATTCATATAAAAATAAATTTTGATGAAGAGAGAGATATTATTTATTTATATTTGTTTTCAACCCATTCTTTTACATGCAAATCATGTTAATTTATTTAATGTCCAATACATAAAATATGTGTAGAAAACACTAGAAATCACCAACTTTGAACCCAGTCATTTTAATTGGTAAATTTTTTATTTTAAACCTGGGACAAAAGTTTGGATTTGGTAAAAATTTAGTGAGGAGTGACATTTCTGTCACAAAATTTAATGCCCTTTCCCATATGGCACTAATTTTTCTTAGATTATTGTCACTCAACTTGAAAGAAATTTCGTTTTAGTCACTCATTTTATATTCCAAATTTATCACTAAATTTCCAGTTCTATTTTAGTTTAGTCACCAATAAAGATTTTAATTTAACTGTATACAGACAAATTGGGCTCATTAGCTGCCCAATAATCTATTCATTCAACTTGTAAATGTCTTATTATTTGCATAACAATCAATAGTTCTAAAAATTACATTTTTATAAAATGATCTTTGTATTAAAAGCGAGAGTTCACTTCCTTTGTCCAACCAGTGGAGTAAACTGTGCACCCAACTTGATAATAAGTCATTACGTGATGAAGTTTAATAAAAATTCCTATGAGACCCTTTTTTCTTTATTTTTATGAAGATAATCTCTTCTTTTTATTTTTCGCTAGGGGGAGAGTGCA